TTTAGGTTACATGCTTACAGCAGTGAAGTTGATTGGCTCCATTGGATTCCAAGAAATGGAATTGGTTCTTGTCTGTCCAAAAAATGCAAGTCAGAAAGGCCAATACATGCAAAAATTTAAGAGACTGTACGAATGTTGCTAAGAACCCTTAAGTTAACATTAACAATACCCTCATAATAAACTTCGCTGCTGGTTTCCCCATGCGCAAGTCATATATTGCTATGCTGCGATCACTGCCATAAAAAAAATCATATATTATTCTCTCCTAAATACAATAATATCATAACTTAATTTTAGAAATGAAAGCAAACAAACAAGGAAAGATAAAATAAAATCAATACAGTAGGCATGGACTGAAAACAATCATGCCACTGTAACAATAGAACCACCAATTTCCTCAAATGGATGAACTAATTGTGGGTTTGGCACTTTGCCACATGTTCACAACAATTTTCAAAGAGAGATTCAGATTTTACAACGTGGAATTTTCGAATTTCCTTCAAATTTATGGCATGTTAAGAGGAAGATGTTTTCATAAGAAAAAATGGATGCTGACCAGCAGACAAGCTGCCCTTTGCAGCTGAACCTTCTTTTACAAGAAACCATTTGTTTTCCAAGATGCTAAATACTTAAAGTCTTTTATCAGTACCATTCCTTATTAAGCAAAACAAATATAACTCAAAACTCAAATTAGAAACCAATGTATCCAGACCAAAAACCATTATAAACAAGCACATGGTATCTAATGTGCTTAACGTACAAGTTTTTAGAACTAGATGAGTATCTTATCTACAAGCAATAATGCAGACCTTGCGGATGTGGCCAAGATATCTGGCTGTCCAGGATTAAATTTTATAGATACAACTGTGTCTGTTCCCCATTCAAAACTCTGCTCTGGTGCAGACCTATGCATCACAAAGTATATTGTCATGGTAAGAGGGATAAACAGTTTTTTTTTTCTTCAACTTAATAGAAGAATAACCAGGCCAGATCAAAACCTGTTGTGGTTCCATATATCTACTCCAGCTCCACCTGTAGCAAAACGATCAAAATTCCACTGGTGATCAACAGCCCTGAAAATGAGAAAATAAACCTTAATAGTAAAACCCATAAAAATCATAGCACATGTCAATTAATTTGTAAAACTAACTAATTAAGTAACATCTCCTCCGAGAATTCAATAAGAAACTTACCGAAATGCATTCTTCCAAACATAAGTTTCCAGTGGCTGCAAATATCATTTATAATTAGTTAGTTACATATAATATAGAAAAATCATTCACTGGAACGACAAATATCACACTATTAGGAAGGCAATACCACAGCAGATTTATCAGATGAGACATCATCCTCCAGAAGAGTAGAAACAGGTACACCCCAAAGCCTGACACTGAAAATGGAAGATAGTGATTTCAACATGAACAATCTTCATAAATGGATAGATACAATCAAATGTATAGATATGGGAGTAACCCAGGAGGTTATGCCTTACGTGCTGTCAGTTCCACAAGAAACAAGAACACGCCCATCTGTAGATACTGCTAAACCTTGCACAGCACCTTGGTGACCAGGAAATTGACGAACTGTTCGCCTTTTTGGGTCCAATGATTATAACAAATACAATAAATTTCAATGACTTATGCATGAAGTATTGAAATGCTATTAAAGGATCTAAACTATAGATTAAAAATCAAATAAAGGGACAGTGGTCCGAATCTCAATTAAATCATATAACACTCCACATGAGAAAAGCATATGTGTATTCTCTACAGAAGAGTGCCTAATACTGAGATTCTAACCCATCTGTATGAAATTGAACAACTCGATTCAGCAGTGTGTGGTTACCTGGAAGCTATATCCCAGAGCCGAATATCTGCCAAAGAAAAGAAATATCAAACACTATAATGGGTTGAGGAATTAAAGCAAATTCAAACTCGATAGCTTAATAACAAAGTATATTAAAAGCTCTATAATCTAAAAGTATTAATAAGAAATCGCCACGGTTCTTTTTCTTAAGATGAAATCTTGTTACTTGCTTTTCTTAGATTTAGCAGTAGTATAGGATACCATCTAGAGAGAAAAGGCATTAGAAATTTTAAGGGAAAAAAAAGTACCTCCATCCATTGAACCAGAAAATATTCTTGTCAAATGGTTTGGATTCTTTGCCATACAGGAAATAGAATCTATATGTCCATCCATTGCTCCAACAAATGGCCTCGCAAAAATCTAAATTACCAACAACAGCAAAAACAAACATAATTCAATCAAATTTAGCATCCATATGCCCAAATATTTAATGCAATTAAAATTCAGAAAAAAAATATACAATCCAAATCCCAAAACATGCCTTCTCTAATTTTGCGGCATTACATGCCCGGACATATTCCACTGCTTTCTCTTGCGTTCGGATGCTGGGGTCGAAATTACGGAATACCCTCTACGGAGATTGAACCAAAAATCATATTTTTATAGAGAAAAAAAACGAAGAAATTTGAGTTGAGAGTAAGAAAGAAGTGAAAACTCACCTGGAGGTCTTGGCTTCGTTCTTTAGTGTATTCATCTGTGGACCGAGATATTACATTCACCTTCATTGTGATTAAGCTCTGCACCGCAGAGGGAGGGGAAGCGACAGCGAGGAAGAGAGAAAGAGATGGGTGAATAAGCAATATACTTAGCCTCTTCTTCTGGATTCGACAGAGGCTAGTTTTTACTGGTTTCGGAGGTAGATAATAAAGAAGAAGAAGGAAGAATAAAAGAACGAACTTGCGCTTGCAGCTGCTGCGAATCTCCAGTTGCAGTTGCTCTGCGAAGAAGAGGCGGCTAACTCGTGAAGAAGAAGATGTTAGGTGCCCCAACTACAATACGCATCGTTTTACTTGCATGCTTTTTAGTGAAAGAAACGTTAGTGAGTGCCTAGGTCTATTTCACTAATGGGCTAGATTTGTTTTGAAAAAAGAAGACTATGGGCATGTTTGGTAAAGGACCGTGCTAAATTGAATCTGAAGTCCATGTTTGGTTAGAAGGGGGACTAATTTAAATGGGATTATAGAGCCCAATAGTATAAAA